CTCAGAGATCCTCGCACCGCTAACCGACCTGCTCAAAGCAAACAACAAACGGTTACAATTCAATGACCAAGCTACCACTGCTTTCAACGCCATTAAAACCGCTCTTTCGGAAGTCACCACCCTGGGTCATTTGAACCCGTCCTGATTGCCGACTCATACTAAAAACGGACGCATCACAGACCGCTGTTGGTGCGGTCCTTCAGCAGGTAGTCGATGACAGCACTCAAACACTCTGTTTCTTTTCTCGCAAACTGCAACCTGCACAAACCTGTTACAGCAACTTTGGTAGAGAGCTCCTAGCGATCTACTTAGCTGTCAAGCATTTTCGGTACATACTCGAAGGAAGAGAATTCACTATCTATACGGACCACAAACCTCTCGTTTTTGCCTTGAGAACATCTCAAGACAAACACTCAGCGAGAGAGAACCGACATTTGGATTTCATTGCCCAGTTTACAACTGACATACGTTACATTGAAGGTTCGGAAAACGTCGTTGCAGACGCTCTCTCCCACATTGAGGTAAACCACATAGCAACGACTCCCATCGACCTACAAGCCATTGCCTCCGCTCAGCAATTGGAACCTGAATTCCCTTTCATCCCTCAAATTTGTCAAACTACCGCTTCTCAACTCTGACAGTCTCATCATTTGTGACATCCACAGGACGCCCAAAGCTTTTGTTCCTGAAAAGTACAGACGTTCCGTATTTGACCAATTTCACACACTTTCTCATCCGAGCATACGAGCGACTGCCAAACTCGTGTCACAAAGATACGTTTGGCAAAATATGCAAAAGGAGATTTGCGCTTGGGCCAAGCAATTTCTCGACTGTCAGAAGAGCAAGATTCACCGACATGCCATTTCTCCAACTGGCGTTTTTCAGCTTCCTGATTCACGCTTTCGAAATGTCCACATCGACCTGGTTGGACCGTTGCCCCCATCCAGAGGTTTCACACATATACTCACTTGTGTCGACCATTTCACACGCTGGCCCATGGCCATTCCGATCAACGACACATCTGCCGAAAGCGTTGCTAGAACCTTTGTCGATAACTGCATCGCCACCCTAACCACTGACCGAGGTCCACAATTCACATCAACACTTTTTCACGACCTCAAACGGCTACTTGGTACGGATCACTTCCGCACAACCGCAACCGCCCGCTTCTTGGGTCCAACGTGACTTTGAGACTTTTGCTGAGTGACTGTTGTTGTGACTTCCGGTTGGCTATAATTGGCTGCTATTAACTCTAAACGTGAACAAACATTTTAGCTACAAACACTGGACTAATATATTCACACTTGTGGATTACTATTGCGATCACTGGAGATTTGGAATACCAGGAAGATAGAACTTTTCTTGGTGTGGTGGTTCAACGGAATACGGAACTACGGAATCTCCTATTTTGAACTGTGAGTCGAGATTTACTTGGATTTTCTCCTTGTGACTCTGTATCTGGTTTACATTAGTAATTTAGTTCTGTTCACTAGAGACTCCATAGGGCCATTAGGCACTACAAACGTATCTTGACAAAACTTGAATAGAAGCTACAACAAGTGAGAGAGTCTTCCCGTATGTTGTCACAATTAGGTCTTCGCACGTTGGAAATAGCTAAAATCTAGTGCTGACTACGGATTACATGATAGTTCAGCGACCACAAGAAACCAATTATGGAAGATCGTCGGGGTACACAAAGAAGCATGAAATACACCACAATAAATGAGGTCTATGAGGATGACACATTTCCCCATTATCCTACACTTTAACTAGAGTGACTAAGGTTTTACTTGGATAGCTTCGGTGGAAACATGGAATCAATGCGACCTTTCAGAAGTCTATTGTCATGCGTCCTGTGTTTTGGCAAGTCAATGTGATAGAGGGTTCTTTTGTCAGCGATTCCATGCTCCCTATCATCTGATAAAGACTTGCACTTCCCTGTTTACTTTTGATCCCATTCTCTTCTACCTACAATAATACGGTCGAGTTGGCCAAGTTGTTACAGCGCTAATTTACTGACCGAAAGGTCCCTGGTTCGAAGCCGACATCTGCATCTCGACTTCTGCTGTGTAGACTTGAGCAACCTGGTAGTATCTCAGCCCTCGTGTTTCTTTCGAGTGGCATGACAGCCAGGCACCGAAAGTGTATTACAAATGAACGATTATCTCATCTTTGCACTGATCTCAGTGGCTCGCAAAAAAAAAAAAATACGACCCGGCAGGGTGGGACTTGCAGCCATATTAACCGATTGGAAAAATTAGGCCTACAGAATTAAAGTGTCAATGGGCGAACAAAAATTGCTTCATGTCTATTTATCTCACGTGGAGGTAGCTATCATAAAAAGCAAAGAATTAAGACTGGCGCTTTTTACGGTGTTTTTAGGCGAAGTTTTCTTATACAGGGATACCTGAGGACGAAAGGGACATTACAGACTCCAGAATTCAAAACCAGTGAAGATATTCATTCTACGCGACTCAAGCTTACCAAGTGCGAACGAATACCACAGGTTCGTAGCTTCTGCAATAATGATTGCATACCGAACTGTGTGTTAAGCGAGACATATTAATCCCTTCGCCGACAAAACGCGAAGGAGCCCCAATATCGTTTTCATAATGAGAACTTTTGAGTGAGGGAACATTGGACGGAAGAGCAATCCCGGTTCACAAATAAAAAAGGACACACTGGGCTGCCCCATGCTTTGTGCTAAGACGACCTGGAAATCGGAACGCAGCTCCATGTGGAGTCAAGGTGTACTTAGCCTCTGGCATGGTACGCAAAGCAATGTGCACTCCTCAGCGAGTCTTACCTTAACATTCAGTCATCTTCAGATTCCTACCGGGATAGTTCAAGGTTCCTTTTTCAACATTTTAAGGAAACGCCAGGACTTCTAAACATAAATAAAGCACAGTACACAGACATCTCTGACTACTACGTAGGCAAGGAGGGTTCCGAATCAGAAGGTTTACGCATTCTTCATCCTAGAAGAGAATCCAGTATATAAGGATAGCAAATTACCCACCCATACAACCAACATTACCTCTCTTTGAGAGAAACACCTTTGCTATTCATAGGGGCGGGCTAATGTGCAAGTACACGTAAGACTTACCGGCACAGTTGAACTTTCGAGAGAGGAGGAAATCGATCAGCTGGTTGATTCCGTATCCAGTTAGTGCGCTTGTCAGGGATACATGCACAATGCTGTCTTCTTCTATGTGGGATCGTTCATGTGCAGCATGTATGAGAGCTTGCTTCCATCGCTCCAGGTAATTTTTCTGATCAATGGGTAGTTCGTCAACTTTGTTTCCCACTAATATGTAGCTAGACGTATGGTTACAGAACAATACAAATACGTACCGACGTTTGCCTAGCTCCTGGCCGAGACCCGGAATAAGGCTATGGGGTAAATTCAGCATATCTGCGACAAGAAGTATCGCCGCGTCAGGATCTTTTCTTAAGTGCGACAGAACTGGTCCTTCATATGTAGATGCGCTAAAAGAAGTCTTTCTACTAAAGCTAACAATGTGCCAACTCACCTGTAACGCGTGAAGGTGGTTCTGCAAAACGGTACACCTAACACAGATAACGGACGATGGACTTCTGGCGTAACCCCTACGTGACGACTTGCGGTTTTCTATCACATGTAACCGTTTGTAGGCGGCGGATGGTATGAACCCGGGTTCTCCAGCGGTCTTACAGTGTAGAGTTGAACCACATCCACTACAGGTTGAGGCTAATGGAGGCATCGTCTGATCTGAGTCATTGTAAGCACGCATAAGGGCAGCTGGAGTTGAACTGAATTGGGGGAAAGCAGGTGGTGTTTCCCGAAAGTCATTGTCAGCAGGGTGTGTCGCTGGATAGCTTACATCCCTACAGTGATCGGTTCCAAGTTGACCTTCATAATTTAAAGCCAAATACTTTGCCACTGTTACCGGGAGACAGGTGAGACCGTTCCTCACTGGTCGTGGACGAGCCTTCAGAGTTTGCTTTAGCTTCACCTGATCTTTAGTGTACGGCTTCAAGGAAGTGGAACATAGTCGGATTGCAAACAATGATCTCCGATTCACACATGAAAACATAGCCCTCTGAAATAAAGCAGAAAGAAAATCTTTCATGTTATTGAACCGAGTTGAGTTTAGCGGTTTCAAGATGGAACATTCCGTGAAGTAGCGACATTGCGAGAACACTGATTCAACCATTCAAAATACTGTCAAGTGGTACGTGACCTCACGTACCGCTCTACCTTTGCGCACCAAGTGCGATCTAACGTCTTAGGTTCGTTAAGTTGGGTAGACGGTTTGTCTTTTCACATAAACATGATGCACACTGATGTCGCCCTTCGAACGCGTTCAACGAGGTGTCCATCAACATTCGGGTTGTCAACTGGAACGCTAACTTTACACAAGGATACCTCTTCTCACCTCTGAGGTCAACCGGAATTTCCGCCGATTCCCGATTTTCCGTACTTTTGGTCAGTTTTGGTACTGCTCAGCCCATTTGTTTATATTAATCCTCTTCAGGCAACATCCGTGTTCCATAGGTCATTGTACCAATGCTAGTTGTGAGATCAGATCCAGTTTTAGCCCGGATTCCAGCACGCAGTCTGTAGACTTGGTGGCTTTAGGATTTACATGGAAAGTAGGCCTTACGCTTTACCAGGTGTCGACGCAACATAACTTTACCTCTTCTATGGCCTCATCTTCCCAACTTTCAACTAGTTTTTCTGTTATAAACAGAGAGCTCGGATAAACTAGGCTGGCCAATCGCTAGTGGTCTGACGAATGAGTCACCCGGTCCTCATGGTTGGGGGTCGGAGCACGTGTGGTAGATTGCTCTGTAGAAACTGAAATGCACTTTCATTTGTCGCAAAACAACGCTGCCAGGCGGTCGGACTTCTGGGCCAAAGGATTTGGTTGAGGACCCTGATCATCCTCTTGTCTAGGTTAGCGCCCTGGTAGTATCGTTAAGCCGTAACATTCTTCCGATACCTAGCTGCCATGCCACCCGAAGGAAGCACGAGAGCTGGGATACTGCCAGGTTGCCCGAGCCTAGACAGGGGAAATCGAGAGGCAGAGGTCGGATTCGAACCATGGACATTCCGGTCAGTGCATTCGCGCACTAACCACCTGAGCCACCTCAACCTGGCAGTATCTAAGTTCAAGTATAACCATTAATCGCACCACACACCGGCCGTCGCGTGGTGCCATACAGCAGGACGGGTAAGCAAAAGCAGGCTGCTGCTGACCTCCCGCTTCCTTGCCTTTGAGGTAATTTTTCTTCCACCGGCTTAAAGACCGGAATTTCCGTCGCTCGAATCCGACATCAGTATCTTGAATGCTCCTATCTAGGCTTGGACAACCCGGCAATATCCCAGCCCTCGTGCCTCTTTCTGTCGGTACGGCAACTAGGCACCGAAATGGTGTTGCAGCTGAACGATTATCTCATTAATTATTCTTATCATTGTAGGCCCATTAACTAGGACATAAGACTCCGTTCGTCCTGCGTCCGTTTTGCAAGCCACATTTACACGTCGTCCGGAGCTGACATTCGCAGGCATCTCGAAATGAATCTTCCTCGACACCCAGTCTATCTGGCTGCTTTCAATGTCCGCACTCTCAAGCAAGCAGTATAAGCTTCTGCTCTTACTGTCACACTGGATTCGCTAGACATTGATGAATGTTGTGTATCAGAAACAAGAATTTAAGATGCAAACACAGTAGTTGGGCTAACCGCTCCACCATTCTCCATTTCCTTCCGGCTGCGCATCTCTGGGGATCTAAAACAGGCCGCGATAGGATCTTTGCTTGAATGGATGCCAACCTCGATGCGGTATATCTGTGAAGAATTCTCACAAGCAGGAATTCGGTCGGTCTGTTTGTCATGTCCGATTACGCTCCAACCGACCGTAGCTCTGATACAATCAAAAACAAGCCTTATGAAACCCTGAATGTTCTGTTGCAGTGAACTAAAAACTCAGATGTCACTGTGGTTGTCGGAGACCTGAATGCACAAGTGGGCAGGCTCAGCACATCTGAGGCTTAATTGGGTGATCGACATGGACTGAACTCGGCACGCATGGACAGTGGTGAACGATTGTTCCAGCTGTGTGCTGACCGCAGGCTGTTTCTGTGTAGTACTAACTTCCAAAATAGCCGAAGCCGTCTGGCTACATGATACCCTTTAAAGGCGTCTTGGCTACGAACTCAACTACGAACTACCGCTCGTTTTGGAGCATACTTCTGAGTTCTGACCACGCGGTCGTTCCGTATCGCTTCTCCTCCGTTTTCCAGGCCGCGTAAAGTGCAGACAAATGGCTTGGTAACTGTCAAACTGGCAGATCCGGATGTTGGACGAATTTGCCAGAATCACCTTCTAGAGTCTGTTCTAACTGTCCCACCTTCAGATGTGAATTAATATTTCAAACAACAGTTATCTTGGTCACCAGCAACCACTCCTTTGAAGGCTACTACTGACGCAGAACCATGGCTCCAGAAGTTTATGACTGCATACGTTCTCTAAAGCGCCACCATGTTCCTGGTCCTGATGACCCCCCACCAGCATTGTCCAGAGATAGGGGTGAAGTCCTCGGTCAGCACTAGTCTGGTCTGTTTGCGCGCATTTGGAAAAGGAGACTGTCCCAGACAATTGAGGAGAGTAGCTCATAGTGTCCGTTTTCAAAAAGAGGCTTGTAGTGAGTGTGGTAACCACAGGGGGACCAGTTTGATCCCAGTCGTAGCGATACTGTTGGCGTCACTTGTGCTCCGTTGCTTGTGGTGCTTCGTGAAACACTGACTAGAGAGCAGCGAGCGGGATTTCAGCCTTTCGTGCTGACCAGATCGTCACACTCCACCAGGTGTTAGGTCAAAGCCAAACCTACAAACGATTCTTGGATTTCTAAATCGAATTCGACCCGGTTGAATGGAATGTTATTCTTGACATGCTTGCCCGTCATGGAACGCCCTAGAAGTTTGTGAAGTTCGTTGTATTCACGGACTTACGGGCGTGAGAGTATGCGGGAAGCCTTCGGAAAGCTTCCATACACAAACTAGTGCAGTCAGGGATGCCCACTCTCTCCAATCCTATTTAATTTTGTGATGGGCGAGATATTGGGACTAATGTCGGAAGGTCTTCAAAACCCTGGTCTTCAAATAGCAGCTCAAGAAACTCTCGCTAACCTAGAATATGCAGACGACACCATTTTCGTCTTCCATCCCAATACTCAAGACTCGGCATATACCTGGAAGCATTACACTTTCGGGAATTTTCTTGACTCCTTTGTTTCTCCTTCACCAAATAAACTGAAAAATTTGTTCAATCACGTTTATCACTTCATCAAAGAGCGTAAGGACTATGAATAAGCTATTACAGACGTGCGAGAAATTTATGCACCACCGAAAAATTAAATATTCATCCGGCATATTTTGAACACTTGTAAGCAAGACAGGGGTTAAAATCAATATCAATTTATGTAAAAGCCCCGCAACCTGTTGCGAGATTGCCGCTTTACGGCTATCATCGCATTACAAGACGCATTTATTGATGGTCTTTATTCAAACACCGTTAGTTAGGGGTTACTGGAACACAAGTCACCAGATTTTAAAACCGCTTACGATCATGCAAAATCCCTCAAATCAACAAAAAAAGTCGCTATCCTTTTTGCCGAGCAATCGCCTCCCCTGTGCTATCTTATCGAATGACCCACAAATGTCTCCACGTTCTCAGGTTTCTTTTGTGGCTATACTTGTCACCCGCGTTATAAATTCGCCGTTAAAGACGCAACCTATATAAATTGCGGAAAGGGCATTTTAAAAAAATATGCAGATCTACAATTGGTCTGAGGAACATCTCATTCGTTTTAAGTGCACTACTTTGTGTCATTACCGCGGCTCCGTAGCGTCTCGAAGAACCAGTCACCGAAATGAAAGCCAACGATGTTTCACTCTTGTTGATACGGGTAGTTTAGAACGTTTCATTTTCGAAAGTAGTTGGTGTTACCGTCGTCATCCAGGATCATCCATCCATGACAAAAGCGTTACCTTTACACACTTTTCCGACATCGAAAAATAAACAAAACATGTGCCCCTCTTTCAGGTTTTCAGTAGTACATGATGTCTGTGCGGATATTTTACTTGAAGATGATTCTCTTAAGCCTTAAAAATCTCCGAAAATCTCCTTCATCGGTAATAAGCCTTATTTCTCGCCACCGAAATAGGACCTCCCAAATTGTTTGCACATCTTGATTAAAGGTGTACGCCCATTGCCATAAGGTCGACAAAATTCTACAGACGACAAGGCCATCACTGCCTCTGACGTAAAGCGTATCTGATCAACAGATAATTGGATCTTCAGTCCCCATGGAGGAGGCAAGTGCTCGCCACGACATATGAGCCATAGAAGAAGCGAATGATTGTTCTACAGTCAAACTGTAAACCAATTTATGCATTTATGTTTCCGTAACTGAGGAAATGAGTAGCAAAGTAGCCCAATATCGTATTTCTAGTACGCTTGATCTTGAAAGTGCGTACTATCAAATATCCACTAATGAAAGTGACAGCTTCTGACGGCTTTTGAAGCTTGCAAGAATCTTCATCAATTTCGCCGAATACTGTTCGGAATAACGAATGTAGTAATATGCTTTCAGAGCGTTATGTGTGACATACAACGCGTTAAAAACCTTACTGGGGCATACGCCTATGTGGATAATGTCACCATGTATGGAAAGGATCAAAAGACTACCGAAACCTCCAGTGTTTTCTTGTCCTAGCACAAGTGTGTGCTCTTCGGTTAAGTCACGATGAAGGCACTATTCTCATCACTAAACCCAGACTTTACCGCCATGAAATTACGAAAGACATCATCATATCAGACCCGGAAAGTTTTACTCTTGCAAGAACTGCTCGTTCCGAGGGACATGAAATCTCAGGAACCTGTGGTTGGCTTGGTCACGTACTACTCTTGTTGGATAAGCCGTTCCACTGGTACAATCTATTAAATCACTCACAACAACTTTTCCAGTCCATGAGTCTGTTATAAAAGTGTTTGAAAGTCTCGGAAAAGAGTTGGTGGATGTAACTGTGGTAACTGT